CACACACACACACACACACACACACCATGAAAGCCTTTAAAATGTGGCTATCTACTATCCAAACTTCGTTAAGTCAGTGAATAAAATAGAATAGAAAGGAACCTATGACATTGAAGAGACTTTTCTCCAACCATAATATCCTGATGCACTTTAGACCCAGCAACAACATCAGAAAAATTGGATAATCTCAGGGACAAAAGACCCAAACATGAGCTAAGCAATGCTGCACAGTCCAGTGAGGAGTATCCAGTGGCCAGCTGAGGAGACGAGTGAAGCACTTGAACAGCAACACCAAAGCAAGGCTGCAGGACCCGATCGCATTAGTCTTAGAGTCCTGCAGCATTGGGTGTCACTATTTCCAATGTCTCCTGGATTGCTGACTATCTGTCAGAGTGGCCTCAGTTTGTACAGCAGGGGGAGTGAGGAAGTTATTCAGGAAATGAATCATACCTGTCTCTATCAAACTGTACAATAACTCGCATGAGCACCCCTGTGAGGCATTAGATTCCACACGCACGGTCTGTTATTAAACCATCTTGCAGCTGGTTCCTAGATTGAATGCGCATTTAAAATGTATTAATCCGATTTGCACCTGTCTCTTGCACAATCTGTTTTGTTTTTACTCTTCTTTAACTTAATTTTTTTTTTATCACTGTTGATTATATATTTATATCTTGCACAGTATAATGCCATCACTAAGAGCCTGTGGCATTTTTATTTCAACTATGATGATAGTGTAGTGTAACACAAATAATTTCCCTCGTAGGATCAATAAATTACCTACTTACCTCACAAATAAGCCAAGCTTGGGACCATGTGACCCTTGCAAGTCATGTGCTGATAGGGTGGGTCAACAACTCAGGACCCCCCAACAAGGTGACAACCCCACTAGATGTTTCACACCTGGGATTCCATTTTAGATCAGAGGCTGAACATCTTTAAGAATCAAATATAGAAGTCTATCTGCCTTCAACTCAAGCTCATAAGACGACCGTGACCTGGATGACTGAGAACCTACATAAACATGCTCCATATGAAAAATGAAAAACAGATGCACAAAGTAATAAATTCTTTTCAAGTGATATCACTTGAGACCTTATGTTGGAAAACGAAACACAGGCTTAGTATGATGCGAATTCCCTGGAACTCTGCAGCTTTCCTTTTAACACCCAAGCAGACGTGAGGAGGTGACTTCCAGCATTCCTGATTATGCTGAACAGATTTCCAGGATTTTCAATCCTACATTGATGGGAAACTTCGACGTAGAACTTGTCATCTACCAATCGGAAGGTCTGTGGGCAAGCTACTGAGTCCAGAGTTGCTCCCAATGCATCCATCAGAGTGTGAGTGTGTGAACGAGTGTTAGATTGCAGTGATGTGGGCATGACTGGGTGAATGAACCACGTAGTAAAAAGTGCTTTAAGTTCTCAGAAAAAAAAAAGTATAATGCTTTGAGCTTTTTAGAAAAACATTTATTGTTATTTTCACGTTAATTGTGTAGAGGCATGTACTTCATTCACAAAATAGGAACAGTAAAATTAATCAGACAAGAAAAATATATGCTGTCTTCTGTTTTCTTACATTATCAATATATATATATATATACATACATTGTAAAATAGGACATTGTAACAAAAAAGAATCCAGAATGTAGCAAAAAGCAAGTTATGATGGCTACATCTGCACTGCACCATGAACACAGATGTAACGTGTTGTCAGTCTAAAAACAAAAAAGAAAAGAAAAGCTGATATTAGACTGAGGTTTTCAGATCCTTCTTTCATTGTCAAAGGAGTTTTTATGGCTTTATTTATAGAGTTGAAATGACACAGCTAGCTATAGTTAAAAAACAAACAAAAACAGTGACTTTTATAACACCATAAACCCCGTTATCATGGTAAAACATCTTTACAGAAGTTAGGCGCCATGCTTTTGAGCATTAATCAGGTATCATCTCATCGCTGCACAGAAGCTTCTGTCCGAGACCACAATATTACAAAAGAACACTCACTTAAGCATTACAAAACACACACACACACGCACAGGCGCACTTTAGTCTCAAGGACAAACAGCCCAGAGAGAATACAGGCATTTTTAAAACAATAGGACAAGTCCACACTTTTAGAATCAGTGGCTGTAAATGATAAGTGGAATTAGCAGAGCTCCTTATACACGATACAAAAATGTCTTCTTATTTTTAAAGTTTAATTTCTTGAAATTTTTGAGTGCGATTTTTAGAAAAGATCTACATATAATCAGAACATAACCTTGGCTTGGATCATGATCTTAGAAATGAATTTAACCTGCTACCTTTTTTTGTTTGTTTTAATTCAACCACAGTGTCATTATACAATAGTGAATATTCTCCAATAACTGCTCTGCAAAAAGAGTTATTATAAATATACTTGGGCTCAAAAGGTCAAAGATGATTGGAGGATTCAAAAAGTAAACAAGAAGTTTAAAGATCAGGCTGTTTTGTTGTCGTTGTTTTTTTAAAACACTCATACCTTTACTGTCCCGTCTGTGATACATTCAGCACATGTTACGATAACACTACCACGCTGTACATGATAGAAACAGCTGTAAACTTGTACACCACCAGTGTCTGGTTGGATATATTCAGCAGGAGGCTTTTCCAGCAACACTCCGGGATGTGATCAGAGGTGTGAGGAATGGCAGACATCAGGAATTTGCTGCATCGCCTTACAATGCTGCACTTAAACAATAACATTTCTTGGAAAAGGAACTCACTCCTGAACAATTGTTATTTGGTCATGCTGACAAATGTGAGCAACACTGTCTTCTGGGTATTAAATACACTTTCCTTACAGATTTCCGCAGACCCCGTGAGTAAATTCCCAGATGTTACACACTGACACGGCACAGGAATTAAACAAGCTCACGCTCAAGATCACAACAATGAGCCGATTCCAAAATACAGACATCCACACATGTCTACAGCAACAAGGTGAGCAGAGGCTGTAGCTCTATCAGAGGGGTTCAATTCACTTTCAAATTAAATCCAGATGAGTTATTACAGGAATTTAATGCATATTAAAGGATATTAAGAAAGCGATTTAACCTGAAAGTGAAGCGAGCCCCGAGGAAGTGATGTAGTGATATCAAAAACACACACGCACACACACACACAAGAAAAGACATTTAGCTGAATGAGTGGACAAACAGGACTCTTGTCTCCACCTGCTGGCCAGCACTGGTATTGCACGGACATCATGACCCTCAGCAGGTCGGAGCGACAAATGTACAAAATATTGCGCCACGACTACTGTTGAATTCAATTTGGTTATGATGAGATTGACCAGTGAGGTTAGGATAAAGCTAATATGCTGTAAACACTTCAGGTTCGGAGGTCAGAGCTCCTGACAGGCCAGCCCTTATTTGGCAGAGTGTTGGTGTTCTTTGTAAAGGTTGAAGCACTGAGTTGTAGAAAAACAGGCTGTGCACATTGCGGGCTAAGAATCATGGATCAGCCTCTTAAAGAACAAATAGTGAGCGAGCTTCATCTCCAAAGTTAAACCGTCCAGTCAAAGCAGCAGGTTTTGTTTTTTTTCCTTTGACACAAGCGGGCCATAAAAAAACACATATAAAGCTGATTCTTTTAGTCTGTTAGTAGGAAAGAAGAAAACTTACTGCCACTTCAACTGTTACACACAATCTCTCTCTTTCTCACACAGACACACACACAATACATTATATTAAAAAAAGGAGAAAAAAAATCAAATGATCGACCAACATCCATAACACCTTTTTTTTTTTTTACTTTTTTTTGTTTAAAAAAACAAAAAAAAAAAAGCAGCACTTTTTTCTTTGATGGATAATCTACAAAGTGCAAATGCGCCATCTTGTGCTCTGATGGTCTTAAAAAAACAAAAACAAAAAAGTCTACCCAAAACCTGGTTAGAGTTTTTCTTGTTGTGCACGGATTCACCGTGTGGTGGAGTCTTCTGTAAGATAGTCCAGGTTTGTTGAGAAGCATCCATCTCAAGAGGTGTCAATCATTGTTACGCGTATACTCGTTAAAAAATGAGACAACATGAGACTCAAGGGTAAATCGATGCATCTCCACATCGTGTACTGCCTCTCTAAAAAACCAAAAAAAGCTGTTCCAGGCTCTCCTCACTGCAGCTTTGTATCTCCAAGTCTTGGTGGACCTGGGAAGCTTTCAGCAGTAGCACTGATTCACTTTAATGCAGTCCTCGTCAATAAATACTTCAATTGTGAGAGGTTAAAAATTTTTTTTAAAAAGCAACAGAAATATGAATACAGTATACTGTTAGTATGTGTGTGTATGTTTATGCGCATAACTGCAAACAACCTTGTCTCATGTCTTACGAAGAGAGGTGTGAGATGCGTTCACGACACTGCATGTGGAAATGCTAATGCCACGGAATACATGACTGTGATAATGACTGCATTTCCATAGTTACTGTGAATGGATTTAAATGGGCATCTGCTGGCAGACTGCTGAGAAACTGAACTCTAGCTTTGCTTAAGGCATCGAAGTAGATGACTGAGGTGCTTCTCCTGTGGCAGGAAAGAACAAAAAGAAAAAGAATTATATATACATACATATATTTATTACTTACACAAAGCAGTTCTATCTGGAAAAGTCAGACTGACCATTAAGCCAGAGCTACAGACTCGCTGAGAGGTGGCTGACTGCAATTACCTGGTTAGGACTCGCTCTCCATTGAGATTGTAATGGTTTCGCTTTCAGCTGTGAAGACAAGCAGAACAGAATACGTGATAGAATTTACATCAACAGCTCAGCCTTTCTATGTAATAATAACACCCCTGCTGGGACTCACCTGATTTGAGGGTGTCATTTGCCAGATGGTCTCCGATGTTATTAGCATGCTGCTCGTTGCTCAGGAGGCGATTCTGAGACTCGCTGAGTGGACTCACGGTGATGTCAGCAGCGCTGGAAAAATTAGCTGCCATTAGCACCATTTTTCTCAAAATAAAAGCCCTATCAGAAGCTTCTACTATTGCACCGGGATTTAGCACCTTTTACTGGGCTCTGACTGCAGTGTCACTGTGGCCTGCTCCACGTCGGTGTTGACCAGTCGGGTGGGGAACGTCAGACCATCTCCCTGGCTGCAGTAAGCAAGCAGAGAATCTAAAGATTAAGAGCTGTCAACTGATTAGAAAAAACCCCAAAAACCGTGAAGCTGAACTTCCTCAGGAGCTGCTGCAGCCACAGACTGTATATAAAAGATGGACACACCATAATGTTACAAACTGTTCTGCAGACTGCTGTTTTAAAGGCTCGACTTTAGCATCTGGCACTTGTACTTTATAAACCCGATGCAACAAGTGATAGGTGGAGCCTGCTTTATTTTATTTTCGTACTCTAATGTGAAAGTATTTAATACAAAAAAACATTATTTTGTATTAAATATGGATTGAAATTAGCACGTGTAGCCATAATTTAATCTGGAAAACACTTAGACATTTTGTTACAGACTTCTATTAAAAAACAAAAAAAAAACAACAACAAGCAAATTGAGTTGCTGCCCCCTGCTGCCCATTACAAAGAATGCAGGTTTAAGACACTCTAGATTCACTTTTCGAACTTCAGTATTTAAACAATTATACCAGATTCTTCAGGTTTTTTTTATTTAACACAGAAATCCTGGTCTTCCTGGTTCTGTTGTGCATCTTTTCCGTTAGTACCTACTCAGATCGACTCACCACGACTCAGACTGGTTTTTCCATTACAATCAAGTACCACTAAATGTGTGTTGTTGTCATAGCAACGTGGCCGAGGGTCCTGTGACTTAATTAGTATGCAACAACTTTGCCAGGTTTCAAAAATGTCGGTTTCAGTTTTTGGTAACAATACACTCATGACTCATCTTTTGACGCCATTGACCAGCCAATCGGTGGCATCCAGTCTGACAACGTCACACTTTAGTACCTGCTCTGTTTGTTTAGAACCTCGGCTGAGCAGGTACTATTTTAGTACCTGGTACTATGACCTAATGGAAAACTCTGAAAATCGGGGCACACTGTGGTGAGTCGATCTGATTAAGTACTAATGGGAAAGGGGCTTTAGATCTCCTCTGTCTGAAAGGTACTCCTGGATATTTCCCTTATTTCTCAAGCGGTCGGCACGGCAGATGGAAGTACACATGATTTGGCACACACTTTACACTGGATACCCTTTCTGATGCAACTCATTTATCTGGGCTTGGGATCTGCGCTAGGAATCCACTAGCTTGTTAGCTTCAGAGGCTTGGGTTTTGTTTCCTCCCGGGAATCTTTTGTGTGTACGGCAAACCACAACACTCCCTTTAATGTCTGTCTCTCTCTCTGTGAAAGTTTTTCTCTCTCTCTTTTTTTTTTTTTTACCTTGTGAAGACGGGCAGCAGCCAGTACTTCTTCTGGTCACCAAAGACCTGAGCAATATTCTTTCGGAAACCCAGAGAGAAACCATTTTTATCAGAGCCTGTCCTAAAGACTGGTGCTCTGAATGCCTCTGCAGGGTAAGAGGAAAATGAAAAGAGAAGAGGCAGACAGAAGGGAAAGAGAACTGTTAGACAAACACTAAAGGAGGGGAACAAAAACTCCAACCCTAGCAACAAAGTTATTCCAGTGATAATGATGACAAAAAAATGACATTCAACTTGACAAACTGTTAGAATATTTGAAATCACTGCTAGATATTAAATACAAGGAAAACGATACCTATTGTCGACCTGTTCTTCCCTACAAGCCAAAGGTGGTAGCTGAAGAGGGACAAAATACTGATGCAGAACATGGCGGCCACAAAAAAAAGAAACAAGACGTGGAATTTGGCAGGCGTGTCTGTCAGCTCATTCTAGGGGGAGAGACGGGAGAAGAGGAGAGTCAGGCAGCCATCAATAACAAATTCACATCGGAGATATTTCTGGAAATGCAAGAGCAATGACAGAGAGCTGATATAAACAAAAAGAAAAAAAAAGGCAGAGAAATGACTTTTAAAAAAGTCTCATGTGAGCCACTTCACTTGCATGCACATCACGAAAACAACAACGGTGAGGACGGTGGGGGAGGCATCGGAGGATGGCTGTGTTACCTTTGGGCAGTTTTCTGCCGATTTCCTGCGGCAAAGCTTTAGTACAAACAGAAACAAGAGTGGTTAGCAACACCAGGAGAGAACAGACGGGAGGGGGGAGCACTTAGAAATCAGGAGGCAAATAGAAGTCAAGGCCAAGTTGGGTGGAAAAGTGGGGAGCTGCAGGGAAGGTGAATGAAAGAGAGTGGGTTGAAAGAAAACTGTGCCCGGACTGGCAAGAAACAAAGGGATAAAAGAGGAAGAGATGAGAGAAAATTGAAGTGAAACAGCTACGAGAGAGAGAGAGAAAGGAGGTGTTTGCGGGCACATGAGTGGTGTGACTGATGGCTCCGATAGTGGAAAGGGAGGCAGAAAAAGAGAAAAGATCCGAGAACAATGAGCCAGTGTGCGAGAACTGGGGATAAAAGAAAGGGGAAACAGAGGGGTAGGGCGGGGGCCGGTCAGAGGGTGAAGGGTGAGAGAGGACAGAGAAAACAGAGGAGCGGCACAGCGGAGCACAGGAGAGGTCAGCGCCATGCACAGCCAACTCAAGAGATGCTCATCCTGGCTACGACGTGCCACCCGATTCTGCATCTGTGTCACACATTCACTCCATGCTGTGGGGCGAGTGGGCATAGCGTGTCGGTGCGTCGTTACTCACTGTCCAGAATTTAATGAAATACTGCAGGACGGTGGCTGCAATGAACAAACAGTACACCAGCGAGTAGGCCAGGAAGAGGATGAAAAACTTGTAGTTGGAGAATCCCACACAGTTGTTCACCCTGCAGACACACAAACACCACATTTGGATGCAGTTTCTTTTCCAGTGCAGAAACCTTATCAAAGTTTGCAAAAGGTGGAGGCTACTGGTGAGGTAGCACCAAACAAATGGCATTATCAAGCAGTTTCTGAAAAGGTGTAGCAACGTGTCGTAATTTAAGGTATGTTAGTTATAAAGCGTGAGAACAAAGTAAAATGAACTTCTGTCTAGAAAGCACTTTATTCTTGGTTAACTAACTCAATGCACCAACAGGATGTGGCTCTTACATACCAGGGACAGTGATGATCCATCTTTAGCACACACCTGCCAAAAAATAATAATAAAAACAAAAGATTAACTTTAAAAAACTGAAGAGTAAGAGAAAAATTTTAAGGAAAGAAGAAGATTCCCTTACATGTCACATGCTGAGCAGTGATGACATCTGTCTGGCTTGATAACTTGACAGCGGTCGCAGTAGCGGATCGCTGCAATAAATTAGCACAACAATCATCATGATAACTCAATTCCAAACAGAACAGATTCATTCTCATTTACATTCAGTGACACAGACGTACCGCCAGCGCCTGTGCGGGTGTACAGAGGGAGGCTGCTGGCAGCTCTCCACAGGATCTCTTGCTGGGACTCTGGCCTCTCCTCCTTCTCATAGCGTTCCTTTTCAGCCTTGGGGAGGCAAAACTGGAGGGAAGGGAGCAAAATACCTTTTTTAAGCTGCCATTTACTGCAGCAGGGGATTACACACAGGCAGACAGAGCAGGCTTGTTTTGTTTTGGAGGATTGGATTAGTGTTATACCTCTTTGGAAGGGTTAGCAGGCTTGGTGAAGATGGTCTTCCAGTAAGACCACACAAACATGACGAATGAGAGGTGGAAGAAGATCAGGTAGACAACTGGAGGGGGGAAACTGAGCATCAGGATCAAGGACATACGCACTGATATGTGGGTTATATAAGGAAATGCCACTGTAACGCAAAACATGGCCTAAGAGCAAAAAAAAAAAAACCTACGCTGTTAATTAATTAGAGAGGAAAGCTAATAGTTTATGCTGGATGAGGAGGAGCTGCTGGGCTACAATCAGGCCAACCTCAGCACTTTGAGAGGAAACACAATTTCTGTGCCAGCCTTTTCTTTAAAAAGCCAAGTCTACAGAGTACTTTTCCAGAAACTTAAGTAAGATTATGCCAATAAAAAACTCTTAGCTCAGTAAAATTCCATTCACGATTTATTAAACAAACATTGTTTGATGTCCTGGGACACTTACTCTGCTCTCCTATGCTGGGGATGGTGACTGCAAAGAGAAAACATAGACAATATATGTCAGATATTATATATACTGATAAACTTTTATACATTATGGTGGAAACAACCATATCATTTATCCACACTGTATTCACTTCTACAAAGCATGCTTTTCAAAATACTGATACTGTACATGAGTAACGAATTAATTAAAGGGTTGGCATGTTTTACAGTTATCCATATCAGAAATTAATTAACTACAGTCCCCTGCCCCCTTAATTAAGAAAAAAAGTTTTCCCCTATGCATGTAACCAGTTCCCATATTTACGCCAACATATCTGATAAAAATCAAAAGAAAACCAGTAGAAACTTTTACCTAGTGGTTTATCTAATAATAAATAAATAAAGCCTAAAAATGGGGCGGGAAGAAAAATAAATAAATACATAGTCACACCTCAGGAGCACAGCAGCCATGCAATCTTTTCTATTGCCCCATTAATCTCCTACACAATGTCAAGACAATTTAATTAGTCCACCTTGCTGTTGTTAAGTGTACCTTTTTTCCACTTCCAAATAGTTAACAAAGATTAAGTATTAGGAGCTGACTAATAAAAATACACGTTGAATTTTTCACAGCTGAATTACAGCACTTAGACATAACCTTACATGAATTTATGTATATTTTTTTTTGGGGGGGGGGGAGACAATCCGCAACTATTGCCTTAAGCCAGTTTAATTAAAAGACACATGTTGTGTGGTATTTATATGTCAGCCAGTCAAATACCGTTTATTTCTCCATCCACACTCATTTAATTTCACATAAAACCACAGAGACGAGACGGGTAGCTTTAACATAAAAAAGACAGCACAGTGCTAGTTTTTCTTTGACTAAAACCGTCCTCTTTTGAATATATGGCAACCCAGGCGATGGCAACCAACAGAAAATTAGCTGGATCTAGATTTGGACGGGTTTGCCAACACCTTTGTTGGGCTGCAGTTCATTTACTTCCTGCTGGCCAGCAGCCGCCGCTGTGTTTGTGTGTGTTGTCAGGAAATATGGTTAGCACCGGCTTTTAAAGGCCTTGAAAGAAGCGACAGACGACGGCGAGGTCTCTACTTACATATACAAAGCTCCACCACGTAAGCGTAGTACGACCAGCAGACGACGAGCGCGATAAAAATCACAGGTATCCATGCTAAGCCCCGTTGACAGCATCTCAGTACGTGTGTGGGCGCCATCTTTCCCCCTCTACTGTGGAGAAGGGAGTGTCGACGGGTGACGTCACGATAACAAAAATGTGAAACAGGGAGGTGAGCCGAGCGATGATATACGACCAGGAAACCAAGTATAGTGCTTCAGTATAAAACATAAAATACAACAAAGGCACCAAGCCCAGCTAGGTTATCACAGTTGTATAACATGTAGCCTAAATCGATATATTTCCTGCTGTCTACGTGTCCAAATGTATCTCTGTATAAAGAATTATGGATTTAAAATAATATAGAAAAATAAACCTTAAGATGAATATGTTGGCAATAATAAAGCGGTTTAATTGTAATTATACTATTTATTTACCCGTAATTCTTAAAAAAAAACACTAAATACTCGACATACTTTTTAAAAAACATTAAATCTTTTAATCGTTTAATCGCACTTTGCTTCATAACACTAACACATTTCTGATCCATTGGTGTGTTTTTTTTTTCAAATGCATTTTGAAATAAAAAGCAGTGAGTTTTATTTAGGTTGGATTTTACTAAGTTTTTCGTAAGTTTTTTTTTTTAAGTTGGCATTGTACTTTGAACTTCCTTGAATACGCCATATTGCTCACAGCCGGACAGAAACACAAAGTGAAACACGGGAATAAACCTGCTTTAAGTATATAGAAACGCCATAACCAGAAGCGAAAATGACTTCCGTGGAAATGGACTTGGGGAAATATTTAGCTCGCATCGGGTTTACGGGCCCCGCGGAGCCCAGCCTGGAGGTGATGCGGACGTTGCACACCTGCCACCTCCTGTCGGTGCCGTTTGAGGACCTCACGGTGCACAGCGGGGGTCGAGTCCAGCTCGACCTCCCCCTTCTGTACGACAAGATCGTGAACCATCGCCGAGGAGGCTTCTGCTATGAGAACAACAGCCTCTTTCGCTGGCTGCTGACCGAACTGGGCTTCCAGGTGACTATACTCTCAGGCCAGGTGAAGAACAGGTTCACGGGTTGCTACGGGCCACCTTTCGACCATTTCATCCTACTGGTTGAACTTGAGGGCCGGCGATGGCTTTGTGACGTCGGGTTCGGGGTTCCCGGTTTCAGTGTCCCGCTGTCACTGGACACTGAAGACCCCCAGGAGCAGAGCCACCGAGTGTACCGGATCAGGAAGGACCTGGAGATGCACTTTGTGGAGTGGCAAGAGGAAGAAAACAGAGGAGTAGATGGAGACTGGAAAGAGATCTACAAGTTCACCCTTAAACGTCGGAGTAAGGAGGACTTCACTGAGATGTGCCAATACCACCAGACCTCCCCCAGCTCCATCTTCTTCTGCAAGTCCCTCTGCACTGTTCTGAGACCTGGCGGGAGGCTCACCTATATAGGCCACAGATTGATCACCACCACATTCCCAACAGAAGAGAACAGGCATGTGGTGGAAACCATCACAGAACTTAAAGATGAAGAGATTCCTGGTGTTCTAAAGGAAAAGTTTGGAATTGCACTTAATTCCACGCTCATAGCAAAGGATGAGAAAATCACACCACCTCTAATCACATATTAAACATACGCACAGTTATATGGGATAAATTCATACCTCTTATGGCTCCATAACAACAAAATGTATGAATACTCTAAGATTAGGGCCAATGGCTTTTGTTTTTAAATCCATCTAATCACTGAGGTCTGAGCAAAGCAATTTATACATTATTTTAACCTTTGAGTTAGAAAAGTCTCTACCTCTGTTAAAACCCAGATCTACTTGTTAATCAATCGCAGACACTGATCTGCCGTGAGAAAAGATGCAACAGAAAATAAACTGTCATTCTGATTTAATAAATTATACATACACTTTTAAGATGTACAATGGTCATTGCATTAATCCACATCAGTCCTTTAAGACAAAGTCCCCTTCCAAAGTATTTACACATGTACATTTAAATCAGGCAGCACTTTATAAAGCAAGGCATGAATCTCAATACAGATGTTGGGCTTCAAATGAAAACTTTAATGCTCCTGCCTATTCTGTTTGTTTGAGGGGATTACTCAGCTGTCCAGTTATTACACTAAGTTTTCCCATCCTGACTTTGATGAAATGAATTTGAATAACACCCATAAAGTCCAGCAATAATCACAGGTGATTTCAAGGATTACAGTCTGAGGGTTGAGCTGAAACCCCCCACCCCCCCAAAAAAACAACAACAAAAAAAACCAGACAGGCCATGGGCTGGACGAGATGTGCGCAGGGTCATGGGTTCAAAAAAACAAACATGGCATCATGTGACACAAATATTTATTCTACGACAGGGTTGGAGGGTGGGATCGAGCTTCCTCTGCCAGCTTTGCGTTCGTAGTTGACAAGCCTCTGGCCGACTAGGTACCTGCAAAGACAGATTATTACAGCATTATTACTATTCATTTTTATGCACTTAACTGAAGGCTACACACACAGTATGAAACAATAATCCAAAAATAACCAACTAGAGCAAAAAGTCTGAACAATGTGTTTAACCTCCTATATTAAATCTGCAGTTTGTTTTTATAATGATGCACCGAATGATACATTAGAAAAAGAAAGGGGGGGGGGGAGGTTGTCAATATAAGACAAACTTAATTAAAAAAAAAACAAACAAAACAAACAAAACATGTTGCTTTCTCCAGAGTAATGAGTGCTGAAAGTTTCGTACTTGTCGTTCTTGATGTGTTCATAAAGACGTTTAAACTGTCGGATCTGAAAGGAGAGGATGCCGATAAGTGAGACGACCATCAAGAGGAAGGGGTAGATTCTCCTCTGCATTAGAATCTCCATCTCTGGGGTAACGCCTGCAAAAACAAAGCATAATTGTACTCAGTTATATGATTTTTCAAGAGTTCCCATTATTCCTATCATTAACTCCTTCAAGATGAGAAGAAATGTGATATTTTGGGGACACCAGTTATGTTAAATTAGGTGATAACTATATTAGAATTATTACCTAGTGACGGTACATCTCCAATAACAAGTCCAAGTGGCAGATTTATCACCAGTTCAGTGCCCAAACAAATCAGAAGGTAGGTCACAATCTGCCACTTTTTTGGGGGAGGCTTTTATTACAAAAGCAGTGTATTTATTAGTTTCATTATCTAATTAATAGCATCCATGTGTAAAAATGTGTAAAGTGTTCCCTGATTGGATGATTGAATTCTACTTGATGAATGGGAGAGAACATATTATTGTGTGTGAGTGATTGTGTACAGTCGTGGCCATACGTTTTGAGAATGACACAAGTAATGGTTTTCACAAAGTTTGCTCCTTCCGTTTTTATGACAGCAGTTTCCATATACTCTGAATGTTATGAAAAGTTCTTCTTTGCCATGAAAACAAACTTAACCCCCAAAAACATTTCCACTGCATTTCATTGCTGCCATAAAAGGCCCTGCAGAGATCATTTCAATCTTCTAGTTAACTCAGGTGAGAATGTTGATGAACACAGAACTTGAGATCTTTATGTCTTGACTATTAAGTTAGAATAGCAGAGTGGATGTGTTAAAAGGAGGGTGATGCTTGAAATCATTGTTCTTCCTGTTAACCATGGTTACCTGCCAAAAAGAAAACAGAAACAAAACAAAAAACCCCATGCAACCATCATTGTGTTGCATATAAAGGGCTTCACATGCAAGGATGTTGTTGTTATTAAGGCTTTTTTGCAGAATATCAGTCTGTCCCTAATGGGGGACAGACTGATATTCTGCAAAAAAGCCTGGAGAAGAAAAAAGTGAGGCTACCATGTCCTGAGACCATTCATCTGTGGGGCTGCTTCTCATTCAAGAGAGTGGGGTCACTCACAATTTCGCCAAACCAAAACATCCTCCGACAGCAATTTCTTCCAACTATCCAAGGACAGTTTGGTGAAGAACAAAGTGAGGCCAAAGTGATAACTAAATGGTGCTGGGAACAAAACACTGAAATTTTGGGTCCATTGCCAGGAAGCTCCCCAGACCTTAATCCAATTGAGAATTTGTGGTCAATCCTCAAGAGGCGGGTGGACAAACGAACTCCAAGCATTGATTATGAAAGAATGGGTTTCCATCGTCGGCCTTGGCCCAGAAGTTGATTGACAACACGCCAGGACAAATTGCAGAGGTCTTGAAAAAGAAGGGCCAATACTACAAATATTGACTCTTTGCATAAACGTGATGTAATTGTCAATAAAAGCCTTTGAAACTTATGAAGTGCTTGCAATTATACTTCAATACGTCACAAAAACACTGAAGCAGCAAACTTTGCAAAAACTAATATTTGTGTCATTGACAAAACCTTTTGGCCACGACTGTACACATCGTTTTTTGTAACTGATGATGGTCGGTTGGACCGAAATATTGTGATTTTAGAAAATAATGGGAAGTGAGACAGAGTGCGGAGGTTATAATTGCATCCTTTAAAACATTTCCCCCCCTCTGGTTTATTGCTAAACTCACAAAAAGCTTAAATCTAGAGGAAACCGTTAGTAATTTCCATTTCTTTTGCCACTAAGACTGCAATGTGCTGTATATTGTCAATGAGAAAGTCCTACTTTGGTTAGGAAACTCTTCAAGTGACGCCTTAAGATCCATATGCAGAGAGATACTCACCTACAGCCGGTACCACCCCGGCAGCAATCACATATGGCACACATAAAGACAACAGCAGGACTGAAATGACAGGAGCTGCCAGTTTACGGATGATGAACTGGAGATCAATGTTGCGAATTCCATTTGCATAAACCTAGAGAAAGAGTTTACACTTTATAATGTACTAAACAGTTAATTTAATTCATCTCCAAGAAACAGACATGACAGAGATAGGGAAGACAGACTAGCAAACTACACACTGTGAGTCAACAGAATAAAACCCTTTCAAAGTTATGTAGTCAAGAGTCTGATAGTTTGTAAAAATGTTTACAGTGTATCAGTTGTATTTGGTGTGTCCAGTACCAACCTGCTCAATAACAGTCTTCAGCCACCACTGAGGGCCCATGAGAGTGATGGCAGCAATAATTTTGGCATGAAGAACCCCGAGAGCCCAATCCTGCAGACAAGTTCAATGGATGAACATAAGTGTGAGAACTCCTTAAGCTCTATTTAGTAACCTCCAAGATCCCATTAGGGAAAAGAAACAAATGCATACAATCCTTACCTGCCAGGGATAGAAAAGGGGTGTTTGGTCTAAGGGTACCCTGAGCGGAGCCACGATGACTAATTCAAACAGCAGGCCCAGTAGCAAAGGAATAACTCCAGCAACCAGCAGAGCCACAACAAGGGTCTTCAGGATCTACAGAAGCAAATTAGGGTATTGAAAAAAAAAAAATCATCAAGAGATGCCACTTGCAGATAAGGAAACATATACGGCACTATAAAGGTTAATCTGCTGGGAATGCTACTTCAATGAACAAGTTGGTAATTTAGGATAACAGCTAATGAGAGCTCATTCTCAGTTACATCCATTTAACAAAAACACAGTGTCAAAGCTGGAAAGGGAGCAACCAATTAGCACAACCCTCTGCTGCCCAACTTCGAAGTTTGCCAACAACCCAGTCAGCTCACTGATGCTCACCATGAGTGTCCACTCCTGGACTTTGTGTACAATAACAGTGCGTCCCTGTGGCATCCACGCCAGCAGAACAGTGACCCCGCGGATAGAAAGCCAGCAGACATACAGACCACATGCTGCTGTGTACAGCTCGTGGATTTTGGAATTTCCTGTCCAGAAAGACATCAGCCAGCGGCCAGTGAATACTGTAAAAAAACAAACAAACAAAACAGTGAGGAAACAAAAGTTGACCACAGCAACTCTATGTTTGCCCGTAAAAAGAACTGTACTTTTTAAATGATGTGTTTGTGTATATGAAAAGTACCACATCTCACCTGGTAGGGTTAAGCACACCAAACTAGCCACCAGCAGAGTGATGCACATGAAAGCTATAAGCAGCACAATCTGGGGGAAAAGGGGACACATTTCAGTTTAAAAGCTACAAGATGGGACATGCTGCAAAGTCAAAGCTCTATTTTACAGACTCCGGTTGCATAAGCTAAGGCTAGTATAAACAGGATCTCAGAGATTAGGGTGTTTAACATGAAAGATGAAGATCATAATGACAGAGTTGTGCAGGCTCAGATGGGCAGTAAATGGTTGCTAGGGCGTTGGCTGATTTCAAAATTTGACTCAGAAACCACAAATTACAGGAGACACATCTTTATTTTAAGACTTGTTTTATCTGTAAAAATAGCCTCTATCTTTGTTCTAAAGCGTGGAGGACTATGACCCTTAATTAAATAATATAAATCATATGTAAAACTACATCTTGCATGTTTAGGGGTTTGCTTTGTCAAATCTTACTTGTAATTTGAATAAAAACTAACAACCTCTCAGGGTTCCAGTGTTAAAGACAACCTTTTTTCTTTATTTCAAATGAACATGTCTGTGTGTGCGATACAAATAAGAGCAAGGGAAAAAACACAGATGCTTTGGCAGCTGGCAATAGTTCTGCATTATTGTGGTCACTAAAACGGCGCAAACATCAGAAATCTGGGGGGGGGGGGAACCCACTGGAAAGTCACAAAGAGCCCTTCAATTATTATATCACATTCATGCATGAGAGGAAACCTGGACGTCAGTCAACTTTGTCAGTGAAACTAAAAGACATGCTAGAGCACTACAGACTACACTCAAAGACATGGTCAAAGATGGCTGTCCATTCATATCTCTAAAAGCTGTTTAGTTTCAGAACCACAGTATCCTGGTCTTCCCTACACATCTATCTGTAAAGTGCACTCCTTAAAGACATATATGAAAAAAGCCTTTCTCACCCTTAAAGGGAAGCGAAGAGGTCGGTGGTAGGGCTGGAAACCCACTGGTCCCCCTTGCTGCAGGATGGCCTGATGGGCTGCATGTAACCCTTCACCAACAGCTGGTGCCGGGTTGTTATTGTTGTTGTGATGAACATGCGGAGGGTTGTTATTGTTGTTGTTGTTCACGGGCTGGTTGGCTTCATTGTCCTCTTGTTCGCCAAGGAGGTAGGAGTGGAGGTCTCTGGAGACAACACAAAGTGGTGACACAGTTACAGACGGTCAGGAAATATCATTGCCTTGGGTGTGTATTCAAACTTGGCTTACAGTAAATATCCTGCGCTGACTGTCCAGGCTCTGACCAGGCCTTTGAGCCACTGGCGAGTGTGTCCCTGCTCCAGTAGAGCTGGAAGCACAACCTGAAGCAGTAACAGCTCCAAAGACAGCTCACTGACAGGAGCGTCACTGAGAGGAAAGAAGTGACAAAGAAACAGACATTTATCTAACAAACACCAGACTAAACATTTTCTATTACTTTAAGTGTCAAACAGCATAAACTCAAGTGGATTTGTAACTGCAAATCTTGCTTTTTCACATGTGGTGATACTTCCACTTTGGTATGAACAGGAAGTGGTTTCTCAGATCATTTCAGGCCAGCAGGTTTCACACAGTTTATTAATAAGTAAACTATATCTTTGTTATGTACGCTGCTTACCTATAGAGCATGACATTGTAGGGAAGGAAGGTGGGCAGCAATAGTTTAATGAGCTTGATGGGAAGCCACAGCATGAGCAAGACAATTGAGCCGAACACAACCACAGACAGGATGAACCGCCGCAGGTGTCTGTAGATGGGCAAGTGAATCATCTCCTGCACTGGGTTAAAATCTGGATCATTGAGGTTCCTCAGAAACCAGAGCACTCCAGGTCTCAGCACCTAATGGAGGCAGAAGGTGGAATGATTTAGAGCGCCGAAGACTTTTTTCCTCTTTACTATCATCTGAAAAATTAACCTGAAGCACTCACAGTCCTTGTTTCCCTAACTGAATGCATTTGAGAGTCTGTTTTTCTTACCTCTCTCAGCAGGAGGATGAAAGATGCAAAGTAGAAGACATAGACCATTCCCACCAGCCAGTGCAGGAACATGGTAGTACCAGGTGCTGATTTGAAGCTCATTTCTCTGTCTTTCAGCGAGGCATCAAACATCTCCTGCAGAATGAATCAAATAAAAGCAGGGTCTAAGATGATGCTTTGATCACCTGTTTTTGCTCAAAAGCTGCTCTAAACTTCATGTTTTTCTAAATGTAAATACTTTAAAGGATTCACCCTCTGCTATATAAAGCTAAGAAAGATTTTTTTGCATGTTTGCACTGAACCATAATGTTTACGTTTTAGGCTAACATAGGACAAATAGTTTAGATGTAGATATATACACTGCAGATAAACTGCATTGAAACAGAAACCAAATTCGCTTGTAAATACAAAATGTGAAACTTTCTGCTTTTGACTGCAAAGCGATAAGAGCTGCTTACACCACACTGGCCATTTTCAGGGTCAATTAATTTGTTTCACAGGCAAACAGCTGCAGAGCAGATGAGACACGGTTCCCTTCTGCTGTGTAAGCTGCACCACCTGTTGTGAGGAAGGTTATTTGGCTTTGGAAAACAGGATCAGGAAAAAAAAATATATATATTAACTGCCGTGTTATGATTTGGATAAGTACTATGCAAGCCAATGTTGTGGTAGAGAGAGACTTTGTTCTAGTAAGTGTTAGTACAAACAAACTCTCTGACAAACAAAGAGAGTGACAGCCACAGCATAGAGGCGTTTGGTACTCTCTCACTCCCCAGTCCTCCAAACCAGTCTGTTCTCTGTTTTTGTGTGCACTGATGAATGTATGAACTGGGTGAGCTAAAGCATCTGGCTTTGTCTGTGTGCTGAGCAGGCCTGCTGAAAGCCACTTTAAAGGTGTTGTGACAGAGCCTCTGCGGGGTATTAGCCATCCCTCTCATTTGGCAAAATGTATGAAAATGGAATAAAATAGGAGTATTCACTGAAATTTCACAGGGAACAAGAGATATTCAGTCACTGGTGCTCGGAAAACGCTTTTAGATAGAAGAAAACTTACGCATTTATCCCTATAAAACATCAGACTTAACGATCACATCTGCCAAGTACGTTAATTAGAGTATGGACCCCCAGGCTAAAATACTCAATCAGTTTAATTAAAACAAAAAGTCCAAGAGCAACAGAGATGTAGTGAAAACGTGATGAAAAGAATTTGTCTCTTACTAAAGAGCAGATGTCAAGCCACCATCCGCAGATCAATGGAAAAACACCTATCTCCACAACAACCAGCAGAGAGACCTGTGAGGATAGAAAAGGCTGCTGTCAGTATCAGTTAACATTAAATGTAAACACAAAAAAGACTAAAAACCTCTGTGACAAGTAGTGATACATGAAATACTTAACACAGAAGTTCTGTACTTGAATATTATAACAATCCAGGGACCTATTCAATGGCTAGAGCTATCTTTATTGTATGATTGCAAACAAAATCTTAGATACTAAGAGAGTGAAAACGCCAGCATCAACATGACTAACACAAAGAAAAAAAAATGCAGTCAATGTTACCTTGACAACAATGTAGCAGACTCCAAGGAGACGCCGGGAGCGCTGGAAACTGACCAGAGCAGCCAGTCCCTAAAACGGCCATTAAGGATCAATACTGCACATATATTCTTATTTGCACAGACCTGAATTACCTCATGTTCCCTTTCTCATACTTTTATTTTTTTTATTTTACAGCCTGCATGCACCAGACTGATAGATTAGGTTTGGATTAGGCATCATCAGGACTTTTAATGAACTTCGATGGAAGGATACATGACACAGGATGAGAGTCATTGCTAGCAGTATGTAGCCAACGATTGTTGTGATTAAGCCCTCAAAATGAGAAGCCTGGACCTAAAAAAAAAACCCCAAAACAAAGTTGTAATCAGAAAATTAAAGATATTATCAAGGGACATGCAATTGTATTATAAAGTGACTGAAGCATTTTCTCACATATTCTTCGAAGCCAAGACCAACAACAGAGAAGTGGCCGATGTGATACGGACAAAATGCTAAATGAAAGGGAAAAAAGAAGACATCTTTATTACTGTATTAGTTATACGGTGGATTCATTTTGATGTCAGAAAAAGGACTATTATGATCATGGTTATGCTGCATCATTGTTTCAGTTTACTCACCAAAGACCAGGATGAACAGTGTGTTGAGAGACACCACCCAAAACACGTGCTCCTACAAGACAAAGACACCGATCTTTACTTGAGTTTCAGAAGGTAAGATTTATTTAGAGAAATCTATTTAGATTAGGACTTACCAAAAATACCAGTGAACCATCCAGGCCAAGCATCTGTTTGGAAAATTGAAATAGTTTGTGTATAAATATGAAAAGAGACAAGACAACAGCTACATACTAATAAATAGGTGCCTGGAGATTGTGAATGTTATGCAGCAGTTACCCTTTCCCAGGTGAGCTCCTCTGCTGCTCTGTCCCACTCCAAAGCATTCCAATTCATGTCATCTACACAGACAGATAAAGACAAAAAACGCCTTGTAGACTAATAAAAAACAGTCACCAACTTGAAACATAATCGATATAAAAACAATCAGTTTATCTCCCTACATGTCAGACATAGTCACAGAATAACAAAATCATGTGTTAACTCAGGCAAATCATTCTGCGGTGGTACATTTTTTCTTGTTGTCCTGCTTTTGTTGCAAATAGTAAACGAAAAGCAATGTTTTCCCCGCTCTGCTGAAACAGTTATTGTTACATTATTGATGTTGCTCTGGGAAAATCTGTTAGTTTGACATGAACATTGTGCAACTGTCAGGCTTTTTCTGTGCAATTTATTTAGCTGTAGTGACAGCCAACAGCTAGAGTAATGTATAATACAATAGCAATTTATTTTCAGCATTTCTTCTTAGCTTGATGCAAAAATCAGTCCATTAACAAAGCTGAACAAATGAGTGTGATTTCAAGGCTATGGGGCAAAAATTTGACATAGTGTTATATTGTTCCCAAATCAACTGTGATGCTTTGGCAAACCGGCAAACAAATGAGGCCACTTTGGGACCCATTTGTATGCTGTAATGGCAGTGCTCCTGCTCTTGGGTTTGTTTAGTGGCATTTCCATAAACCTGCTGTTTGAAAAATGCAAAAACCTCTTACTCCATTACTAAACATGCTTTTGGTTGTCGGGCTGTCGGAGAGGATTTCTATTTTCATTTTTGAAATTATTTGTATTTTGCATTCATGAAACTTTACAACTTAAGAACTGATGTATCTGACAGTGAAATCTACCTTAACAAAGAATCACTTTTTGCAATATATAATTTTAATTAGCTGAAAAAAATGCATACATCTTAAGTTAAGTAAAGAAATAATAAAGTCCCACCTTGTGCACCATTGTTGGGGTCTGCATCTTCAGCAGCTGCTGCCTCCTCTTCCAGCTCTGGATCATCGCCTTGCTCTTGGGGGACGTCAGGAGGCTCGGGCTCTGCCTCATTCTGGGCTAGAGGATCAGCAGGTGCTGGCTGGGCCGCAGGGGGATCACCAGCTGCTGCCTGACCTGCAGCTTGTGCCTGGGGGAGAGGGAACAAGGTGCATAACTTTAAAAAACAGAGTAACTTATCATGTAATGAAATCACGATATGTTGTCTAGTATATTAATTATCTATAACACAATCAACCACAATGTGTGTAACTGAAGGAAAATAAAAATACTAGCAGCTGCCAGTGCCACCCCTCCACCTACTAGTAAATGTACCCATCATATAAATTTGACAATTCTAGGTGATTCTCAACCTCTGACCTTGAGTTCAAGGTCACCGGACTTGAACTTTTTTTGAGATGTTGATATTTGCACCTATGGTTTGAATTTCAAAATCCTACGTCTCCTTGTTCTCAACCTGCTGCATTACCAGGATATTCAGATAACTTGACCTTGACACCAGGAGTCAAATTCATCCTGAGGTTTTTAGTGGATGCATCTAAGATAGGGTATTTGAAAATGCTAGTTCACTTTCTTGTCCAGTTATTGGATTCACAAATGTTTTTTAAAACTTGACCCCTGATGTTGAGGTTGAGATTTTTAGTAGCTGCACTTATGATATGAATTTCCAAATCCTATGTCATCTAGTACTCAACTTATTGTAATCACAAACTTGGGTTTCCAAAACACTCACCCACATGTGACAACAGGGTGACGACAATATCCCATCAACCTTTTACAGCTGGGGGTTTAAAAAAAACCCATCCAAACACAGTAAAAACATTTACTCATTTGCTTCTATTTACTTTCAATGATCTGTCCCACCACTATAATTTAAGTTGATTATGAGTTGGATAATTAGCAGGAGATTCATTTGCTACAGCAGGATGTGGTATGGTAATTACACACATTGTCATAAATGTGTAAGGTGCATGCAGCATGTTATTCTGGTTAGCATTTAAATAGCTCATGTTTTTAATTTGCAGTTAAGTGAATTACATAAATCAGATTTTTTTTACTGTGTCATTTTAAACCTCAATGAAACACAATTATACCATCCAGTTAAGAATCTAATTTAGTAATCAGTCCAGCAAAGTACCTCGTTGGCTTGTCCGGCAGCATTGGGCTGTGGTGGCTGGTGCTGTTCTAACCACTGGGGGGCTCCACCGTGGACTATCTGTTCTCTGAGCCATACCAGACTAATAAATGCACATAGGGTGCAGGTAACCACAAAGCAACCCTGTAGACAATCTGCAAGCAGGTTCTCCCTGTAGGAATAAAAACAATAGCACATATTCAATAAAAATGATCCTCTATTTCTCATCTACTGTCCAGTAAAGAAAATAAACAAGCTAACAATCTTGATCTCCATCAGGTTTTGCATATTTTGTGCTACAGTTGATGATAAAAAAAAAGCATTATCACTCACGTAGAGAGCATGTCCAGCGGCAGTGTCAAAAGAGAGCTCACAGAGCCGGTAAAAAGACACTTATAGATGCGACCTGGGGAAAAAAAAACATATTTAAAATCTACCCGTTTCTATTGTATGAAAATTTGTATAGTTCAGGCTTACATTTTTACATTAAGTACTGAGAGGGATTTACATGTTTTGGAACAAAGAACACACTTTCTTGTTATGTATGTAGTGACACTAAACCTATAATGCTCTTTAACATTAGCTAACATGAACACCTTATATGTTACTTTGACTGTATTTAACACCCCAGAAAGGGGAAATTTGTAAATGCGTGTAAGTGCACAGACATTTCCACATACAGCAGATGAGGAAAAACATTTAGAGGGTCACCATATAAAGAATATTTGCTCCCAAATCTATTAAAAAAGTTGGTCATCAACACTAAAATAACAGTACTTCTAAAAGTTAAAACAAAAATATGATTTCATAAATAACTTATACATGTTAGACAATTTTTTTCTTTTTAAAGGGGTTTTAAAGATAATTTCTCCTTGTATTCATGTCTGTGGATACTTACATGCAGTGAGAGGAACAACACCAAGCCATGCAAAGGCCACCAGTGTGTAATGGAACCAGTAGCGAATGGCAGTGCCCACACTGGTAAGAAGGCCGGCACAAATGTCCTGGATGGGCAGACGTGAGGGCATGTCTGGGGAGTAGACTGAAGAGGACAGACGGGAAAGAGTGAACCAGAGTCAAATTATCTTTTGTGCTTGCTCATTTTCTTTTTTCGCTGATAGCAGCTATTTAGATTATTCTGTAACACTAAATGAAAACAGCACCAACTAATGAATAATCACATGCAGAAAAACAAACAAACAACAATTTATATGGCCCCCTCCGTAAGGCTAAATTGGAGGCTTGCGGCTACAAAATGCATTTTAATGGATTATCTGTTAATGTCACAAGGACTTACTTGGTGTGAAAGCAAATCTGTGCTTGCATAATTCACAGTACTCCTTCCTGCTGTGCTTCAGCCACTGGACCAAACTGTAAAATGACATTTAAAGAATGAAGAAAACTGATGAAAACTATGTAATATTTGTGCTCTATTTTCACATTTTGAGCACATGAATAATGACTGGATTGAAAAACAGCTTCATACACATATTCATATGTTACATCCAATGTATTATGTGTGTCCCAATATAAGACATTTTTCCCACTGTGAGAATGTGTATTATTTAACCTTCAGGGCCTGAAATGCCTAGTGTAAATCATGCCAATTTTTGGTTCCAAAAAGTGGCATGATTTTTTAGGAAGTCCTTTCAAAATCCCATTTAAGACATTTTAAGCCTGAAATAATCCATAAAAAAAAAATATTTTTTTTTAATTGGTGTCTTCAGATTTGGTCAGTTTGAGATATTTGGATTAAGTTAGATAAATTCAATTGCCAATAGAAAGGATTGCAACGGTGCAGATTTAAAGAACAGTCCAAGTCCAGACACTTCCAAAGGTCTGAAGTGTTGACCCAACATAACCTTTTCATGATACCACTGCCATGCCTACAATAGTAGTAACACTGCCACCAATATGATGCAATGAAAATGTAAGCGCAGCTGGGACTACTGAATCCGTCACTGTGAGACTTGCTACCTCTCAGACTCCTTATAGACACACCTGGTATAAATTTCAAAACCCTACATTGCTTTGGTCTCAAGTTATGACATGCACAAGATTTTCAGAAAACTTACTCTCAGCTTGAGATCATGGTCAACTAGATTTAAACTCAACCAGGATTTTTAGTAGATGCAAATATAAAATCACTTTGAATGTCACTTTGTTCTTGAGTTATTGCATTCACAAGATTTTCAGAAAAATTTGACCTTAGACTTTAGGGCTGTTCGACATAATGATATATAGCGGATGATGATATAAAACCATCTATCGTTTCATTTTATGTTACCATCAGTCGATTCCTACAGTACAACAACATTAAGAATAACATTATCTAAGCAAACCTTTCAAAAAATGCAAAACAATCCAGGTCTGGTCTTTGCTTTGCTCTTCTACACACTCACAAACTTCAAAATACCTTCATCTTTAATTTTCACAATGCAAATTTTTGAAAACTATTTAATATTGACACAAGAACAAAATGATGAAAGAACAATGCTATATCATGTGCAATACATCGATTTAGCAACACTGGGTTGAATGAAGCTTTCACAACCGCTTGTTTACGTTGTGAGTCAGCAGACTTCCTAGCTTAAAACCAAGATGTCAAAATCATTTTACACCATGGGCCACATACAGTGCACTTTAATCTTAAGTGGGCCAGACCAGCGAAACTCCCCTTTCTATTAATGTGAAATATTTAGGTACACGTTCAAACCCTGAGAAGTCTTTATATGAAGAAAAGAAGGGCAATCCAACAGTAATTCCTAGTTATGCACTCAATCACAGTTTCCAAAGCCTTTTAGTGGGCCGGATTAGAGTCTTTGCCAGGTCAATTCTGGGGCCCGGGCCTTATGTTTGACATCCTTGGCTAGGGAAGTTATGGGAAAAGTAAGAATAAATGACTGTCTTGCAGTAACTAAGGCAGCATCTGTGAACATTCTGAATCTAATTAGTTACACCATGGTTACCGTGCTGTTTGTATGATTTTTTTTTTTCTTTTAAATGTTTAACATGAAAAAGAGAAAGTTTTCCTTGGGAGGATCTGAGAACTACTTCTTCACAAGGTCACAATGAAAGCTGACAGAAAGAGGAAGAGACAGCCTAACACACTTACCATTCCTGGTGGATGAACTTGATACTGCCAGTGCAGACACAAGGGTGGTACAGGGGTTTGTCTGGGGTCCCCTCAGAGCGGCACACGCGACAAATATCCGCTACACACAAACAAAAACACACAACAATTTCAATGAATGTCTGATCCTCTTCGCAAAGGGTTAGCAAAACAGACGCGAGAGCAAGTGTCAGAGGGTGTGTATATGGTGTCATATATACATATATATGCACAGTAATAGAGGATATTTAGTTAAAAGCAACATTTAGAAAAATATTTGCACCAGCAGCGTGGCTTAGGTAAACAGAGCACACAGCAGGAAACTGATGACATCACTGGTAAATTCTGGTCCTTTCTACGCTCCCCGCTACTTATTGCACTATCCCCACATGCTAACATCGTGTGCTTTAAAACACCGTTTTCTCCCGTCTTAGCTGGCTACATCCAGCCAGCTAAGTTTAACCATTAGCAGGCCAGCTCAGCGGTCGGCGAGGCGATGCACTTGTGAAGCTAATGCTAGCTATTGATGAAAAAGAAGCTACTAGAGGCTTTTTTTTTTTTAAATTTACCTTCTTCAGCAGTATCCATGTTGCTCGCTAAGCACCGGTCACCGTCTGTTATTCGACTAATTTGTACCGTGAACCCATCCACGACACGGACAGTATCGTTTAGCTAGCTCAGTTAAGCTAGCGAGACGACAATATCCTTATGGGTCAATTGCATTGACAATCATAAAATGGTTTCCCCACAGATTAAAACGTAAATCTTCGCTCCGCTGTGTTTTCTCGCGTCCAGTATATGTTCGCCAGTACACAAAGGTTTCTAATTCACTGTGTATGTCTAATGTAACACAAGAAACCAGGGGGAAACGCTACATCTCAGGGTGTTGATCATACGACAGTTTAAACCTGGGAGACAAATGGCTAGCTTAACCTGCTAACGCATGCGCCAACGACACTTCTGGCTCCTGTCATAACAGTTTTACTTCCCTACAGAGGTTCGAGTTTTACGGCAGGGAAACGACCATAACAACCGTCACGTGATTGTATTTCGTGTAATATTTTACTCAAATAAAACTAAATAATAAAAATGCAATGAAATAAAAAAAGATAGACGCAAAATTAAAAGTTACATACAATGAGAGAGAAAGAGCACCTGCAATATTTCGAAAATAAGAACTAAAAGTGTCAAGTAGACGTCACTATTAAACATTAAATTCTGCAGGAACAACAGGAACAAACATTTTTATTGGGAGGTTTTTCCGAACAGATAAGAGCTGTACTTAAGTATAAATATGTGGTCAAACTTGTCATCACAATACTTGTACACTGATACTTGTACACTCAAAAATGAGCTTCAGCATTTATCTTGGAACTTTATTTCGCTCTCTTTATATGTTTCTGTACTTATAAACCAATATTCTGTATTAGAAAAGTACACGTATCAAATAAAGAGCAAGAATAACAATAACAAAATTAAAATGTGAAGTCTCGACACCAGTCAATGAGCCACTACAGCAATACGCGCTCTGCCACGCACTGGCGCCGTGGCTTAGTTGGTTAAAGCGCCTGTCTAGTAAACAGGAGATCCTGGGTTCGAATCCCAGCGGTGCCTTTTTTGCAAAGCGTCGTCAAATTAATTTGACTTCTTGGTCCACTTTAATCTTAAACGGCCGAACTACTACACGTTTAATCTTATTAACATAAGATAAAGATCAATATGTCTATGTTTTTCAATGTGATGAGCACATCCTGCTGCTAAAAATAATGAAATGAAAGAAATTTTCCAGAATTAATAAATAAATCTGTAAAAATACAGACGTTAGAGTAGATCATTAACTCATATTACAAAAGTGAACATTTTCATCATTTTACATCAAAAAAATTCATTCGTTCATTTATTTTTGTGTTAATGTGGGTCTCTTGTTAAAAAACAACAACAAAAAAAAACCCAAACAAAAAAACAAGGAAAAAAGTCCAAAATCTATGCAAAACCAGCCCGATTGGAGTCGTTTCCGGGGTTATTCTGGGCTCATGTTTCTATCCTATGCCATTCTATGCTATTCTTATGTTTGACACTCCCTGCATACATACGTTATCAATTAATAACACTAAACAACAAAACCCTATCCCATTTAAGCAAGCCAGAGATAGGAAAGAAAAAATATCAGTCAGCATGACTTGCAGTTACAGATACACATACTATGAAAACAATACCAGGTTTGTCCTCAGATAGTCACTTCTCACCTGTTTAAAGATTAAATACAGTTTAAATTTCATTCAAAAATAGGACGCGTACAGTTTGCAGCATAAAAATATTCCCTGTAACCATGCATGAAAGAAAGAAAGAAAGAAAGAAAGAAAGAAAGAAAGAAAGAAAGAAAGAAAGAAAGAATGGAGAAAGTCATAAAAGTGTTATCACTTTAATTTTGAAAGTGGGAGTGGAAAGGAATTCCAACGTTGTCCAACTGCTAGCTCTCTCCCCTCTTTATAAGCAGATCAAGATTTTGACTTTCAGCCAGGCAGCTACGCAGAAACTCGCAAACCAGCAAGGTATGTTTCTCTCGTCGTCTTTGCAAACGGATTTTTCTGTCCAGTGTTGGATTTCATTAGTTTACATGGAAAAAATATAGAAAAAATATAGAAGGGTTGGAATCGTTTAACTGAAAAGAGTTGTGCAGCAAAGCATGTCGAAGTATTTTGCTTTGTCATGCTTTGTTGCGCAAATGTCACAAGTGAGTCCAGGTGTGCACACGGGACATTATTCTTTTTTAAATTTTAATACATCCCAGTTTTGCTGTCTCCTTTTTACCAATACTTTCTGTGCTTCCGTTTTCATCTCTGCCAGCAGATGGCAAACGAAGCCAAGCCGTGTCCCTGCGATATTGGTGATCGCATGGAGTATGGAGCGCTCGGCCAGGAGGTCCAGATGGAGCACTTTAAAGCTTATGTAGTAAAACCATCCACTGCATCCGACAAGGCTATCATTGTCATTCAAGACATCTTCGGTTGGCAGCTTCCCAACACCAGATACATGGCTGACATGCTTGCTGCTAATGGATACATGTGCGTTTATGTGACTGACTCATTGATAGACTGGATTGAGATTCCTGAGGCGAATGTAGGATTTCTAGAATCAGTGATTTTGTGAGATTTTGATTCCTCCTTTTTTCTGTTGTTTTATTGTGAGCAGAGCCATTTGTCCAGACTTCTTTGTTGGAAAGGAACCTTGGAGTCCAACAAAAGACTGGTCCAACTTTCAAGAGTGGCTTCAGGACAAGAAGCCGACAGCTATTAACAAGTAAACAAACGCGTGAACTACGTAATGCAGCAGCTACTCATAGCTTTGATAGCTTTCTGACCTTGTGTGATAGCGCACACTCATTGAACTTTTCCTTCTCAGAGAGGTGGATGCAGTGCTGAAGTTCCTGAAGAATCAATGCGGAGCCAAACATATCGGAGTAGTAGGCTTTTGCTGGGGAGGGGTTGCCACACATTACCTGGCCTTACTGTATCCAGAGATTAAAGCCGGAGTGTCTGTTTATGGTATGCCATTGTTACAGCAGAACACGAGGCATGGTATACGGAAAATGTTTTTGTTATGGTTTTATGTGATCCTGTGCAGGAATAGTTAGAGAGAGAGAGGACAGGTATGAGCTGAAGAGTCCAACACTGTTCGTCTTTGCAGAGAATGACAGCGTTATCCCTTTGGACCAGGTTAGTGTGAGTTGTGGACCGATTAGTTTTAGCAGCAACTTTTGTATGCAGACAATGTTAACTTAAAAATCTCAGAATTTCTGCCATGACATGTGCGCTGACATCATTTTTGCCCATCAGGTGAGTGCTCTTGAAGCCAACTTGAAGGAGAAATGCAAAGTGGACTACCAGGTGAAGATATTTCCTGGTCAGACTCACGGATTTGTCCACCGCAAGCGAGAGGACATCAACCCCGCTGACAAACCCTACATCCAGGAGGCCAGAAAAGACCTGCTCAACTGGCTCAACACGTACATGTAAATATGAATGCCAGGAAACACCTTAAAACTCTGCTTTATATAATCATATCCACAATAATTAATCAGAACATTATAAGACGATCTGTAAGAGGTGCTCATAATGAGTCTTTCTGTTGGTTTTGTCTGAATATTGATGCCTGTGTCTTATGGAAGCTTGTATCAGCAACTGTTTTTTGCCATCCGTAAATCAAAATTTCAGGTTATTGTATATCTGACTGCAAATTTGGTTTGAAACTTACTAACTCCATATTGACAATAAAGACCTTCAAAGGTATTAACTAAAA